TTAACGCCACGCCCTAGCTGTGATAACAAAATTGAAACACATGTCTCACTTTATTAAAAACTGAAACAGGTGCCCCTATATGAAAATGTCTCAACTCACATGTACATTTTATGTACTTTTCCATTTATCTTTATATGTATTTATGGTTCATTATGTTTAAATTTAAGCTTTTAGTTTTTAAGAACTAGCCCATCCAATATAATATCTATTTTTATACTTAAAGATAATATTCTGTGCTTCAATTTTAAGTTTTTCATGATTATATTTGTCTAAATGTTTTTTGTGAATATGGCGAGAGGCCTATAAACGTTATGAACATCATATTAACAATTTTTAAAATGTTGTACGTAGTACTATTTTATGAAAATTTAAATACTGTTTATAAAATTTGGAAAGATTTTAAAGTATCCTTGGGCCGGACGGCCCGGTGGACAGTAGACTGTCCGGTCCGCTCTTATGAGCTGGTATGGACATCTGGTTTGCAGACTGGGACGTACTCACCTAAATCGATCATCATAAAATTTAGACAAAGTCTGACCCAAACTCATTCTTGTGCACGTCTAATTGAAACCATACTCATTCACATTTTCAATGCTTTTACATGAACCGATTTCAATTCTAGAGACCAAAGTGGAGCAAATCAAATTAGACTAATTATTAAATCAGATTTCAACATTTTTTTATCATCAACTCTAACAATTCTTATTAACCCAAACAGTTATTAGCCAATAGGCTAGCAATACATCCAGGTAACACACAGTGGCGGATCCAGGAAATGAATTTATTGGGGGCAGATCGGGTATTAATTAAAAATACTTATGAAGAATATAAAATAGTAAATTATCATCATATTATTATTACAATAGTAAACGTATAACAAAAGACATTACAATTGTTCTTGCCGAGTTTTCATTTTTTATTTGAAGTGATTCGTTACAGTTTTACTTAACATTTTTCTTAGAATATTACTGAAATGTAATTAATGGATAAAAAAACGTCTAGAGTTACTGTGTGTGTACATTGCTTCATAATCACGTGTAAAATTGAATACAAAAATAATCCTACTTAACTAAAAATTACGGAGTACTATTTCAGTTATATCATACAAGGTTACATTTTCTCATCATCTTTATTTTAGTCATATATTTCGTACATATATCATTATTGCTTTATTTAACTATCTAGAATAATAACATACTCTATCCGTCCCTTAAAATTTGGTCAAATTTGACTGACACAAAAATTAATAAAGAAAAAATTGTGTGGTTGAGATTTGCGCAAATGAGAGATGATTAACGGGAAACTCAAATTCTTTACTTAAAAGAGAAAGTGACAAAGTTGACAAAATTTTAAGAGACGGATGAAGTACTATTTACATTTTGAATTTCTATGTATTTAAATGACTTCTTTAAAAAAATGTATCTAACTGACATTTGCTAGTCATCCATTTGAATATAATCTAACAGAAATATTATTAACCCTTACAATTGCTAGTATGTACTGATGTACATTTACTAAATTACCATTTTTAGTAATCACTAGCCTTCCAAGAATATATTACATACTGAATAATGGATATATAAGGGTTAATACTACATTGTGTCTCACTATAATAAATTAATAAATTTAAAACAACATGATTAATATTAATATAGAAGTAAGAATTAATGTAAAGCATTAATCAACATACGGAAGAATGGGGTAGCGGGTGAGTCCAAAATCTCATTTTGAGATTTAGCCATTTCCGTTGGGGAAGGAAGACTATTGGGGGCAGTCATATTTTTTAATTGGGGGCAAAAAATTAGTCTTTTAATAATTTGTAATAAGATATATGGGTTTAGTGGAAATCTATTGGGGGCAGCTGCCCCCCTATTCCTTTATTGCATCCGCCCCTGGTAACACATCATAGCTACTATACTGACCTGGGAGATCTACATGTGCTCTTGCAATTGTATGAGCCACACGATTCGCAGACCGTTTACAAAAAAGACAGAAAAAAGACTCTTTATTTCCAAAACCTCCCTAATATTATCAATGATAATATGAAAATAAGATGATCCTCCCCCATTCGGAACACTCTTTACGACTGTCATAACATCTATTTCAAACTCCACCTTATTCCAACCTTCCTCAATTGCTCCAGTTATAGCCTCCTTTAGCCCCATTGCTTCGGTCTCAGCTACCAACCGGTTTGCTTTAGCCGAACCCCCCTTCGCTTTCAGGAGCTTTCCTTCATCATCCCGAGCAACCCAACCCCATGCTCTAATTCCACCTGATTTATTGAACGCCCCATCAATATTGATTTTAATGGCATCTTTAACTGGTTTTCTCCACTTCTCCGCTTCCGTGTCATTATTACTTCTTTTGTACATATTACGGTCTTGAACTTCCTCCAACCTTGTAATCATCTATGTTGCACAATTTATCACATTGGTCGCATCTTGTTTCTGATCCTTCCAGACTGCATTATTGCACCTCTTCCATAGCACCCACAACAGCGAGATAAATCTGCTCATGCGTTCTTCCTCAGTTGTCACTATGTTCCGTCGTACCCATTCTTCTACTGCTCAGTCCTCCTCTACCGCAAATCCTGCCTTCTACCAGACCGTTTTTGCCCAGTTACAGCTCCGTAAGGCATTGTTCAAGGATTCACCCTGATCATGACATAATTTGCATCCATACTGCACCGCTATGCCCCTTCGCCGCAGGTTGTCTACCGTCGGTAGCGACCCATCTAGTACATGCGAAATAAAAAAATTAAATTTTGGGGGTACCTTGGAATTCCATAGCTTTTTTCACACATCAGTTGCTTCCCCTGTATATTCCCCCATCTGCATTCTGTAATACTCCCTCCGTCCCCCTGTTATTGTCCCATTGCGGTTTACGATGCTTGACCGACGATAAAGCAAACAGATCCCTGTCCGCACTCAAATTATTTTTAGGAAAAAACATTACATATTCATAAACTACATTAAAAGATTTACAAAGTCGCAAAAATCAGAATCAAATTTGATAAAAATTTGATACATAAAGTAAGAGATTAAGAGTGATTTGTGTTGACCAAGTGAATAGGAAATGAGACAATAATAGGGGGACGGAGGGAGTAGCTCTTAACAAAAAAAGTCCATTAGCCTCCCCTTTCCACCGGGATCCATCTGCCCGGTCTACCGCAGTAATCGGAATGCTTAAAATCTTCCTCCTATCCTCCTCATTAAACAATGAATTTATTCTTCCTCAATCCGCTTTATTCCTGTAATGTCTCGTAAAGCAACTACATTCATGTCCCGTATCCCCGTTGGCCTCGCAGAAGTAATCCTCCCAACATCACATCCTGGCAATCATGCATCCGCCCACACTTGGACATTAATTCCATTGCCCACCCTCCGTCGAGTATTATCTCTCAAAATATTCTGAGTCTAAAAATGCTCCTCCACACGAAAGAAGGGTTACTTCCCAATTTAGCATTAAGAAAATCTGAGTTAGGAAAGTACCTTGCTTTCATGATCCTCCCCATTAAGCTGTTCACGTCATTAATCAATCTCCAACCTTGCTTTGCTAACATTGTCAGGTTACGTCATTAATCAATCTCCAGCCCTACTTTGCTAACATTGCCTAGTTAAACTCCCTGAGCCTTCTAAAACCCAGTCCACCTGCCTCGGTTGGTTTGCACAAATTTTTTCAGCTTCTCTACCTCATCCCTTTCAAATCAAGCTTTGATCCCCTCCACCAAAACCCATTCATCGGCTTCTCTATATCCTTGCATAACTCCTTTGGCAATAAAAATACATTCATTGCATAAGTAGGCATCGCCTGAATAACATTTTTGAGTAAAACTGCACGCCCTGCTCTAGAGAGAAATCGATTGTTCGAGCTGTTAATTTTAGCATATATACGGTATCTTAAATAACCCAAAATTGCCCCCTTGTTTCGCCCCACCATGGACGGAAAGCCCAAGTACTGCCCCTGATCACCATCTGAAAAAATACGCAAAATCTGTCTGCAAATAACTCTGGTTTATCTGTCGTGTTTGGGCTAAAATTGATTGATGACTTCGAGAAATTCACCATATGTCCTTATAATTCCTCGTAGTGATTTAAAATCTTCCTGACCGTGTCACATTCACCCGGAGTCACTTTAAAAAAATAAGAAACTATCATCAACAAAAAATAAATGTGATACCTTTGGTGCTCCTCTACATACAACCACTCCATGTAATTCCCCACTGCTTTCGGCTTTTCTTAGTAAAGAACTCAGTCCCTCTGTTACCAGAATAAATAAATAAATAAGGTGATAATGGGTCTCCTTGCCTTAGTCCTCTTCCTGGGATAATCGGCCCCAAATTCCCTTTGTCCAATTGAACAAGATAACTAACCGAGGTGACACACTCCATTACCAGCCGTATCCATCTATCCTCAAAGCTCATATGTCCCAAAATATCTTTTAAAAAATTTCAGTCTACTCTGTCATAGGCCTTGCTCATATCCTGTTTTAACGCCACAAAACCCTCCTTTCCTCCTCGTTTTCTTTTCAGGCAATGTTGTGTCTCAAACGCCACTAAGATATTATCAACTATCGACCTTCCCGGTATAAAAACGCTTTGATTTTCCCCAAGCAATTAAATAACCCAACAATCCTTTCATCCGATTAGCGAGAACCTTGGAGAAAATTTTATACACAACATTACACAACGCTATAGGCCTCCAATCCCCCATACTCGCTGGTATCTCTTTGTTTGGAATTAATACAATATTTGTGAGATTTAATTCTGACGAAATTTTCCCATAATTAAAAATCTCAATCCAACCACTTCAGGTCCAACTATATCCCAATTTTTTTTGAAAAAAGACCGGATTCATACCATCTATCTTGGGACATTTTCTGGATGCATATCAAAACTTCCTTCTTTCACTTCATAAGCAGTAATCTGCCTCATCAGCCTCCTATTGTGTTCCGGTTTTACCCTTCCCATCGGCCTGTAATTTCCCTTTAAAAAGTACGGAGTACGTAACCCTAAGGCGCACAGCTAAAATCCATCCTCAGTAAACCCTGCGTTGAGCATGACAACTCGCGTCTCCGATTCTCTCAGAACGCGTTCGACGATGACGCCGCCGCCAGACATCCTTCGCTCTATACTGTTACGATTGCCTGTAAAATCTCTCCTTCGTCTCCAAAGCGCTTGTAAAGAGTGGCTTTCTTTAATACAAGATTCGGATTTCAGGCATTCGTATTCTCACAAAGAACGGCTCATCGTGATATATGAGTCATATGATACTCCGAGTTATGCCAACCCAAATAGATTTATCGTTAGTTCCATCAACCAAAGCTTCCAGGTTGAAAAGGTTTACTATTTCACAGAGCATTTATCCCTTTTTAAAGGAACATACTTCCATAGGCATGATGTTTTGGGTTCTTGCAATGGACTTGTGCTTCTGTCGGTGAATACCCATATTTTTCTGTGGAATCCATCCACCCGACATTGTACAAAAGTGCTTGAGCATGAATGCTTGATGGATTCTGTTAGAGACTTTGCTTCAGGATTTTGTTATGATTCTTCCACAGGAGATTATAAGGCCGTCCTATTACTTCCCAAATTTGTTATTGTTGCCAGCCTCAGGCAGAAAGAGTGGAGACAAGTGTCCTTCCCTTATGACCTGCTTTCTCGCAGAGCATCCCTTCACTTTCGTAATATATTTCATTTGGTACCAAGTGATGTAAGGTGGCAAGATAATAGCTTTTCAGGATGCGAGAAGATTGTGTATTTTGATCCGGATAGTGAAAAGTTTGAACTTTTGCCTACCTCTAAAGTTAAGGAGGGAGGAGTCAACATAATAGGTGCTTTGGGAGTTATAGAGGGTTGTCTTTCTATGGCTCTCTATGAGAGTAATACTATAGAAATCCTTGTCATGAAGGAATATGGTGTTGCAGAATCATGGGTTACTTTGTATACTGTCTCACAGCTTGAACTCCGTGTTGGTAACTATAGCAAAGTAACGTTTTACTCTCTGAAGAATAATGTTCTGATTTGGCAGCAGGGTGACTGTAGGATATTTGTTATTGATATGAAAACAAAAGAAAGAAAAGAAAGAGAGACCGTATTATTCGGGATAAGAAATGAATTTGTTGATACGTGTTTGTATGTTGAAAGTCTTGCTTCACCTCATGAATATACTTGGATTGATGAACAACACAAACAGTTTTCCAAGAAGATCAAATGGACAGGACCCAATTTGAGGAAATAAATGAAGAACAATTTTGCTATAGGTACCCCAATTTTACCCCAACTGGTACCCCATATAAATACCCCTCCAAAAAAATTACCCCCCACCTCCCTCCGTCTAAATTTCTCCCTCACCTCCCTTTCTAGATCTACGGCTTTTCCACTCTTCCCCTTCTCAGGAAAAATCAAAATTGTCATCGACCTCACCCCCTCATTTCGCGTCACAGACCTTCCCAAACCCTGCCATCTTTAGCTCTCTTCCGGCTCCGTCACCGACCTCACCCCCTCTCAACCGGCTTCGTCTACGCCTTCTCTCCGTTGCCGGAGTACAGTGACTCCGCCTGCCGACAGTCCAAAACAACAGTCTAAGAGCCCCAGATTCTTCCACCGCTCACAGCCTTCTTCTCCGCGTTCTCCTTCCCCTTTTTCTCTCCTCAAATCCAGCCTCTGTCTTTCTAAGGTATGTATTGAATGCAGATGCTCTACATCATTGAAATTGGAAAATACTGTTTATCTTCTTAGTCGGATTTGTGTACTTATTGATATAAAAAATTTTGAATAACAGAGCAGGTGTGGGATATGTTCAAGGACGGTGAAATTCGGGCAAGGGGCGACCATATTCATGGTGGAATGCTCTCATAGCTTTCACTTCCCCTGCGTTGCCAAAACAGAATTCCCAAAAATCATTTTCACACAAACTACCTCTTCATTTGTTGCTTATTAAATGAATAATTTTCCCCATTCTAAAGAGTGCGCTAAAGGCATTCCAGTTTTGCGCCTTCTAATTCATTTATGTAATTCTTCAAGAATAGAATACCACAAATGAATGTTATTAGATTAACTGGATGGCTCTTGTTCAGGGATATAACTGTTTGTGGTGCGGACAAGCTTATCGAAAATGGCTGAAAGGTATGTTTTTTGTTGTATTTTTGTTTGTTGAAAATTGGTTTATAGTTGTCTGTGAAGTGAAAAGAGTTGTCTGGCGTTGCATTTGATTTGTCTGTAACTTGAAATGAATTCTTTAAAATTGATTTGTAGTTATCTGTATGTGAAAAGCGTTGTCTGGCATTCCATTTGAGTTGTCTGTAATGTGAAGATAATTGTCTGTCTGGTGAAATTGTAAAGTAGTTATGTACATTTAGATTGCTCTGTGATGATATTGAGATGTCTGTCATGGTATTTTGAATATTATGTAATTGGTTTGGAGTTGCCTGTCAATTTATTTTGAATTGTTTAAAATTGATTTATAGTTGCCTGTCATGTGAAAGTAGTTGTCTGGCAAGGCATATTAGTTGTCTGGCACATGAAATCCAATTGTCTGTAATGTGATATAAAATGTATGGCCTTCCTTCTGATTTGTCTATCTACAGGTCGGGAGAAGCTTGGCACACCTTGAAGCATTGTGCGAGAAGCTTTACAACTCGCAAGATTCTGCTGAACGAGCACATGCAGAGAACACTCTCAAATGCTTCTCAAGAAGCTTTATTTGTTTGAGTACATAGAACAACTTTATGCATGCACATCTTCTTATTTTACAAATGTATTTTATATTACGTGTGATGACTTTTGTGATGTCTCTCTTCAGATGTTGAAAATTGCTTTGTAGTTGTCTGTGAAGTGAAAAGAGTTGTCTGACATTCCATTTGATTTGTCTGTAATGTGAAATGAATTCTTTAAAAATAATTTGTAGTTGTCTGTATGTGAAAAGCGTTGTCTGGCATTCCATTTGAGTTGTATGTAATGTGAAAATAGTCCGTCTGTCTACATATGTATTGCAACAAATTGTCTGTAATGTGATATAAAATGTCTGGCATTTATTCTGAGTTGTCTGTCTACAGGTCAGGAGAATGTGGAGTGATGGTGGCTTCCTTTGCAGAGCAGTTGTTAATTGAAAAGTCATTGATTCCAGGTTGCGAGTATGCAAACATGTGGAACAAGGTGGAGGAAGCATAAGAATTGTTATTAATGTGGGAATGTATTTTTGTGGGTTGTTTTGATGAGTTTAGTAAAACTGTATTTTATAGTACATTTTGATGAGTTTAGTAATTGTTAATGTGGTTATATAAAAGTGTTCGGAGATATGATTGTATTTGTTAATGTACAAATGAATTTGGTGAAAACCAAACATGTATAATATTGTCTGTGTTGGTATGGAGTTTTCCTAACATTATACAATATTCAACACATTTTCCCAACTACATGTTCAAAAAATCACAAGTTCAAAACAGGCACATTTCCCCAACACTATATACTTCAGCATCCTTGCATTTGTTTCTCCATTGCAAAAGAAGTCACACTTGGTATAATTTTTGTAAATGAATTAGCGTCCACTTGGAACTCTTTTTCAGCCTTACATTTGAAGTCATTCGTCATCTTGAAGTGAATACCTACGATTAATACACAACACGTAGTCAGAACACATATTTGGTGCAAATAGCATATGTGAGGCATAATCAATTTGTCTGGAAGAGACAATTGTTGTCTGGCACAACCAACTTTTTTCTGGCTGTGAGACAGAGAGTAGTTAATTGGCCCACTCTACTAATGTCTGGCCCAAACAAAATTTGTCTGACTGTAAGACAGAGAGTAGTTAAATGGCCCAGACTACTAATGTCTGGCCCAGACAAAATTTGTTTGCCTATAAGACAGAGAGTAGTCAATTGGCCCAGACTACTAATGTCTGGCCCAGACAAAATTTGTCTGGCTGTAAGACAGAGCGTAGTTAATTGGCCCAGACTACTAATGTCTGGACCAGACAAAATTTGTCTGACTATAAGACAGACAGTAGTTAATTGGCCCAAACTTTAAGACAAAACCGTGTTCACTTTAGGCTAGACAGACACTGCAGTTCTAAATTGTCTGTCCGCCAAACAAAATACAAACAAATTACAAAAAAACAACATACTCTTTTCCAAAACATCAATTAAATTACTATATCATATTAAATTGGAAATCCATAAAAATACTCATTAAACATTGAGGTACAAAAAATGGGAAAAAAGTCTTGAATTTCAACAAAAACTTCATTGAGTAATTTCTACAAACATGTTATGGGCATAAAATGAAATAGAGAAATTACACTAAAATTTTAATTAGGTAACACCTCAAAATCATTACAATGAAACAAAATAATCATTTATTCACTTTTATATCATACATAATATACATAAAATCGAAAAAAGGAATATTTATATGGGGTAGGAAATGAGGTAAGTATGGGGTACCTATAGCAAAATTGAATGAAGAAAGGGAGGGACAGCAATAATATGAGGTGAGGCTCATCAAGATCGATGCATGTCATACTTTTTTCCATTTTTTGTTCCTAAGGTGTTAGAAATTGTTATTTTCTCTATTTTAAATCCTATATATTTTAGTTATAAGTTGGAGTTATATAAGAAATATTCACTATTTCGTTCCATGTTCCTGTTATGGCTATTTTAAAAGGTACGAGCATGTTGGGCCTGAGCTGTATTGTGTGCCTAAAACTGAACGATAAGCTACTTTTAAATTGAATTGGGGGCACCAAACGCTAAGGAGAAAGTAACCTCCGTCTCCTTAGTGTTTGCTGACCCCCGTTTGTGCCCAATACAAATATAGTGAATTAAGGGTACGAGTATGTTGGGCCTGAGATGCATTGTGTGCCTAAAAGTGAACGATAAGCTAATTTTAAATTCAATTGGGGGACAGCAAATGCTAAGAAGAAAGTAACCTCCGTCTCCTTGGTGTTTGCGGACCCCCATTTGTGCCCAATACAAAATAGTGAATTTAATTTTATACTACCTCCGTTCCTATTATAACTTCCAAATAGGTTTGACACACAATTTAAGATAGTGGGTATTGTGTGGTGGAGAGTTGTGCAGAGAAGAGAGAAATCTGTAAGAAATGTTGTGAACCACAAATTCTTTACCAAAAAGGGAAAGTGGAAGTTTTAATTGGAACTGACGAAAAAGGAAAATCGGAAGTTATAATAGGAACGGAGGGAGTAATGGTTAAACAAAATCAAAGAATGTTATTTCAAAAAATATAACATTGTGTTCAAAATTTCGTAACAAGACTAAAGATAAATAAGTATAAGATAACAATAACATAAAAATATAAGAAAGATAAAAGATATAAGGATTAAAGATAGAAAGATAAAAGAGCATAAAAAGTAAGAAAATAAAAATAACATAAAAAGATAAAGAAGATAAATGATAAAATAAAAGAGAGAGAAAATGTAGAAAAGACATCAATCGTCCACATGGATGTGTGTCCTCCACTTTTGCTCTCTCTCAAAGCCATACTCTCATCTAATTAATGTGTTTCATCTTTGATCAAAAGATAAAATAAAAGCCTGATGACATCTAACTGAGCAACTCTTTAATGAGAGAATCCAAATGTTACTCTCTGTAAATGTATGTCACTATGTGTGAAACAAAAAACGAAAGGGATGTAACGCATAAATCCATAGTATTAACCCATGATCATATCAATATAGTTTGGATCAGGATGATTGCACAATGCCTTCTTGATTCATAACATGCTTTTAATAAAGTTCGTTTGGAGGTAAACCATCAAAGATGTTGTTCTTATTTTAAAGTGTCAATATGTATTTTGTATTATCCTACGTACGTAGTATGTAATTAAGAGGCTAAGGGGGCATTTACTTTTGACTTAATGGGGTCTGAATGGAAACAACGGCTTACTCGTTCAGCTATATACGCTTGTTTACTTAGGACTTATTGTAAAATACGACTTATTCGCTCAGATCATTTTTGACTTAATCGTTCAGCTCAAAGTGAACACTCCTTACGCTTCAAGCGTAGCTGCTATCTCTTTTCTAACCCTCGTTCCTCCATCGCTACTTCATAGCTAATATCTCCTACTGCGGCGAAGTGAAGAGCTTGCGGCCCATCAGTCTGCTACACCCTACGTATTTCATTTCTAGCTCTGATTCCTCCATCCCTCATCTTCTCCATATTGATATTTCATCTCCAGCTTTCATCCCTAACCTTCTCCATACTCATTTCATATTTTCTCTTTATTTTGCTTTGTGTTTCCCCTAATAAGAGTTTACTCCTTGTTCTCTATCATACTTTCCACTACCTATGCACTGTAGTTTCGAATTTTTGGGTAAATTCATTACAATTTTATATTCAGGTCAATTTTTTATTATTTAATTTACATATGCCGTATGGTTATACTTCATGTCTGATGTTCAATAGTTTCATATTAGAGGTTCATTAATGATTTTATGATGTGTTCTTCATTAGATGTTGTATAATTTAGCTAATTTTCATAACAGTTAATGCACTTTGAATATAAAAAGCAGGGATTAAATGTGATATGCAAATTGTATTACCCCAAATTAAGAAAAACTTAAAAAGTAGTTCACCGAGGAAGCTAATTCAATTCTTATGGCAGGTTTATATTTTTCTGCATTTCAGCATATATGGTTAATGTTATTTATGTTTGATCTTCAAAAAGAAGTAATAAAAAGCTTGATACATTGAAGAGGATAATTTTCTATAACAGGTTGATCTCCCTGCATTTTATCATATATCATGCATTCATGTGATTTATGTATACAATTTTATTTATCAAAATTAAAAAAAATGATTCATAGAGGAAGCTAATGATTTTTGAAGTCAAGGTTACAATGGGATGACAAATAACATTTGAAGCAAGAGCACTCCAGTATACCGATCACACAGAAAATTCCAGCATTGTTAATGCTCTATTTTTTATCTTTTCTCTATTTTTTCTCAAATATACTTGAAATTCAAAGTTTCCAATCTTAGAATAGATGGCTCCTTATCCATTTGTGATACAAAGGAATGTGGTGAATGTTTTTTTTGGCGTTCATTATTTTATTATGAAGTCTAACATTAATGATGATTTTTTCAATGAATGGGATGATTACACTAAACCACAAAGAAGCACAAGAGGAAGGTGAAAATATTGGAGAAGTACATGTTTCACTATACGGTACACAAAATCTACAATATATGATACATTTGGGGGATGAGATTGCTAATAGACTAGTAGGAGATGTTTAAATTGAAAATGTTGTTCTCGTAAAATATTTGACTTTTTCTTATCATGTAATTTGACTTTTTTTTAGATAACCCATAGTATTATTATTCTGAGGCATATGAAATGATTTAGACTTCCGATTCATCATACTTATAGTAAACAATTTGTTATCCCACTGCCACTTAATCCTTTTGGGATTAAGGTTTGGATTAGGGATGAACCGGGATTGGGTCGGGTCAGGCTCCAGGCTGGGATTGGGCGGGCTCGAGACTAAAAATTTCGGGCCCGGTACTGGCTCGGGTTTTACCGGAATCAGGCTGGGCCTAAACAGAACCGGGTTGGGACCGGGCCAGGCCTAAACAGTACCGGGTCGAGACCGAGCCTGGACGGGCCTGGGCAATAAATTAAATTAAAAAATAGTGCTATAGGGCCCGACCGGGTCGGGCCTAAAAATGAGCCCGAAGCCCGCCCTTATAGCCACCGGGCCGGGCTCAGGGCTTTTGTTTCCATGTGTAAATCCTCCCAGATTTGTAATTTTTGTTGTTGTTTAGCAGAACTAGTTGTTTGTGAAATTGTTAAAAGACTCATAAAGGCTAAGATATTTCATGGAGATGTGGATCAATAAGTTTTAGGTTCCTCTTGAGAAGTACGGAGTTTTGTTTTGGTTTGCTATTCTATATCTCTTCACTTCTGTTAGTTTTACTCACTCCTTATACTCATCTTTATACTCACCAATGTGATAGACCATTTTTTTATATATGAATCACGTTCACAGACAAAACAAACATGTTTATGTTTGAACATTTTCTCATACAATTTTCACAAATAGGAGTTGGGTATAATAGAATTTTTAATATCTATTTGTCCGCACCCAACTTCACAAAACCAACAAAGTATTGATGCATTATTGATGCATTCTAGTACTTCAACAATTCAATGAGGCAAATTAATACCTTAAATACAATTTATTGTTACATATTGAAAATGTTTTGAAATTTAGAAATTACTTAAAACAGGATAAAAACATAGGCATTATTCTTAATTAATAGGATCAATTATGTTTCTTCCGAAAACATTACTAAAAGAATAAAAAAAATTAGGAAGAGAATA